TCATTCTTCATGTGTGCCAGTCTAGTTCCTATCACAGAGCTTTTATACTGATTGTCTCTGCCAGGAAGGCTTTTCTCAAGAGCACCTCTTGGCTTAGGCCTATGGCTTTGTCATGAAATGTCACCTCCTTAGCAGTCACACTGTGGCCACTCCTTAAAATTTATCTCCCATATCCATTTGCAATGTTATCTTTCCCCTGCATACTCCTGTGGTTTTATTCTTGTTTTTCCACTGCCTGACTTTACTGGAATGCCAACTCTATGAAGGGGGAGCTTGACCTGTCTTGTTTACTGCAGATCCCTGGATCAGGGCTGACACATTCTGTGTGTTTAATAAACACAGACTCATGGGTACATTTCAAGGCGATGTTGACCAGCTCTGCAGGATCCCTGTTCCCCCAGAAGAAGGTTCCCTTCCCCCCTCATTTCCTGGTTCCCTTTGCTGGCACTATTCATGAAATTCCTAATCGGGTTCTAAGTACCCATCTCCCATTTAATTATTGCTGTAATGTTGCAGTTAGTAAAGGAAAGAAGCATTTCATGAAATGAAATGAAATCAAGGCATAATAAATGTCTCAAAGAGAAAACTCTGCTAGTCACCTCACACATGTAACCTCAGGGCCTGTGGTGCAGATCCAGACCCAAGGCCCCTGGGGAGTGTGTCCAGCTGCAGTTTCAGGTCACCATCTGTTCCAAGGGACGGAGTGCAGGGCCACAAAGTCAAGCATGACCGTGTTTCCCCTGGGATCCCTGTGCCAGGCATTCTTGAAGTGGGAGGTGGGGACAGAGGATTGAGGAGGGAGTCCTGTGATTCTAGGAGTGTTTGCACATAGACAAAGGGGTTCTGCTGCAGCAGATTCTGCTTTAAAGGATAGAAGTGCTGGTGTTCGGCCTCATGCGCCCCCATACTTACACCTTTATGAGATCTAGAAGTTGTTTTAATCCTTGAAACTTTTTTCCATTTCAATGGAGATATTAATTTTTCACTTTTAGATTTATTGGAGGATTAAAGAAGATAAGTGTGGGCATTAACTGGCTTACAGCAGTTACTCAGCAAACTGTGGGACTTATCTCTACCTTAGCATCATTTGGAAGCAGCAGTTTCTAACTTAATCTGCATTCCACACCTTTCTCCGTAAGCTGGTTTACAGAACTGGCACTCTTTGGGGGCCAGATGACATCACAAAAATGAAGTGGGCAGCAAGCTTCCTTTGTCGGCCCCCACTCTGTATCTATATCAAGTCCTTTGTTACAGCTCAGGGCGTGATGTTGGATGGCAGGCTTCCCAGCCAGATTCTCTATCCTAAACTCCCTATCCCCCTATTCCCTATGCTCCACCTCTCTGAGTCCAGCCTCAGCCACAACAAGATATATGTGATCCCTGTCCGAATGAAGTCACTTGGGTGGAAACCAGTGCTCACACTGAGTGCTTAGGAAATCAGGCAGCAGGCTTGTTAAGATACAGGTTCCCAGGCCAGAGGAATAGGTCTGTGCTGGAGAGGGAAAATGCATTCCCCAAGCATTCTCTTCCCACAGGGACCAGAGCTTAAGCAGGGGCACAGTGTGGTGTGCAGTCTCTGGTGCATAGTGGGTGCTCAGCAGAGTTACTCCTGCCGTCTGTCACTACTGTAAGTCTGCTCTCACAGCTTAAGAGCTCCTGTCTGCTGTCTGCCTCTGTCCAGGCATCCACTTGCCTGCAGATCCACAGTGCCTGGGCAATTGTGGTGCCCAAAGGGTACCATTGTGCTCCCTGTCCTAACTCCCTCTGGGAAATCTTGGGTGTGGAAACCATTTTGATGACATGCTGTGGACCAGGAAATAGTCATGGAGGGATTGCCCATAGATAAGGATCTGCTTAGAAGAGCACAGAACCTCAAAAGCCCAAGTTTGTAAGCCCAGAACAGCGGTTCATTTTTTTTCACTACTGACTGATTTAATCACCACCCCCCTCCCCTTTGCTTTCCTAGAATGGCCCTGTGTAGCATTCCTGTAACCTCACTGAGAGTTGCTTTGACAATAGAAAAGCACAGTTGATACACTGAAATAGGTTCAGTGAGAAAGGAAAAGAAACACCAAAAAACAAAACAAACAAACAAACAAAAGAAACCAACTAAAGCCACATGTGGATGTCAAAGATTTCTTGTGAGCAGCACCACAGCCTTGGGGAGCCTGGCTTCCGAATAGCACTGTGCTGGGCTGTAGCTCCTTTGAGGCTCCACAGCTGAGCACTCTGGGGCCCTGACAACATCTGCAAAGAGCCTCCAGGGAGAGAAGGCACCGGGCTTCTCCCTCCAGGCCCCAGGATTAGAAGTCCCAGCTGGCCGTGTCCAGGCCAGCTTTGATTCAATTTAGAGCTTGATTCTGAGTGTGTCTGTTCTAGTCCATGCTGTGTGCGCTCTCCTCTTGGCAGCTGCCTGCTCTCCTCAAATGGCCTGGAGATTTCTTTCCTGTCTGCGGTTTGGGTGGCAGAGGCATAAACAGAGTGCACAGCAGCCTTTTGGCTGGGCTGAGGCTCTGGGAAGTGTTTGAGCATGGAAGCCCCCATCTAGACAGGACTTGGACACAGGCCCTGCAAAGGGGACTCCATCCAGATATTTCTAATGGAAACAGCAAAACAGCTTCTGGGTTCCACAGCAGGGAACCCACCCTCTGAGTGTAGTGAAAAGGGAAGCTGTGGAGGAGGGAGAGGACCTGGGAGCACCTCTTCCTCCTCTAGCAGCACAGACCCACCCCTACCCACTGCAAGTGTTTTAGTTTTCCTTCCAAAAGAAGTCACTAGAAGCTGGCACAGAAGGTATGCTTTGTAGTTCCTGCTGAACAATAACAATCATCTTGACCACCAAAGGCATTCAACACCTCGAATTCTGACACCCAACTTTAAGAAGCTCTTATCATATGAAGAAGTAGCTTGATGTCTGAGATGAGACTCTGAATGCTGTAACACCTTTGGGACAAAGGTGCAGGTACCAACTCGCCTTGCTTAGAAGAGGACAGTGCTTCGCTGCAGGATATGTGAAGAAGCAGGTCATTGGGCTGGGATAGTTCGCAGGTTTCATGAAAGCTGGCTTCTGGTGTGGACACACAGGCTACCATTCCTTGACCCATGCCATTTATCTAGGGTTCCAGTGTTTGATACCCTGGGAAGAGGTGACACCTCCCTCAGCAGAACATGAGGTAAAAGCACCATCCCCATTTCAAAACTTGACGTCAAATCTCAGCTCTGGGTTTTCACGTGTTGCTGCCTGTGCACCTGCACCCAGGAGGGCAGATGAGCCACATCCTTCTTATTCTAGGATGACACAGACACGAAGTGCAAGATCCTGGGTCTAGATGCAGTTGGTACCATGTTCAACTCATGAGATAGTTCTACAATGCCCTAGCTGGGTGAGGAGCTGGCTCTTCTCACTTCATTGACTTGACTTGCCCTTTATAAGTAAGGTGTATTGTCTAGCCCAGACTTAGGGTGCTTCTTATATAGGCAGGAGCAGACTGCACTCACCATGAATATCGCACACAGGTCTTTCTCCAAACCCTCATGTCGCTGTATCTGCAGTATGGGCAGTGCCTGCGTAAGTGAGGCTTGTAGGTGAGGCTCATCTGAGCCTGCCTCAACTCACAGCTGCCTGGGCCCAGGAATCTGGCTTTCCATACAAGTTTATAATGTTAATTGCAATCATGGTCTGTAACATTCATAGAGCATTCACAGGAGACACTGAGATAGATCTTCCAGGCCGGGACTGGCCCTTGAACAAGCTCTCGGCATGACCTTAGGGTTTCAGGATCACCCACCCTAGTGCTTATCTTCCAGAACTTAGACCAAAGAACAGCACAGAACCGGAGCTGTGCCCTGCTCCACCCTCCTTGTCTGACTCCATATGCTTTGACTTGACGTCAGAGTGTACCCTCCCTCCTATCTTGAGGCAATTCTCTGCCTCTTAGTCTTTGCAAAAAAGCACTGGTCCTCAAGACGGCCACAACCCTTGCTCTTCCTAGGATATTAGGAAAGGGAGGCAGCTGGCCATTGCTGGAGTCATGCTGGTGGCACAAAGAGAGCTAGGCAAGGCTCCCCTCACCACACCAGTCCAAACTTCATCAATTCAGAAGCCATCAAGAAGTAACTTCTGGTTCAGGCAGGAAAGCCATGTTCAAACAAGGAAAAAGCTATTTCAAGTATGTCAGTGACTTGTTGACAGCCTCAGTCTTGGAATCTATAAGCAAGCAGGGGTATCCTGGCATCCCTCAGGGGTCATCTCGTACCCGGAGAACCTCCACATACACTAGAGCCTCTAGTATTCCATTACATGGGACTGCCTTTCTCCCTGTTCTGGTTGGACAATGACAGTGGGTGGTGGTGATGGTAATTTCATGCTTTAATTAGTGCATAGCAAAGCCTTTCTTTTATGAATAAGACTGTGAAAGCTGTCTCTTTCTTTGCTAGGAAAAACCTCTTTCAAAACCTGCATTCTGTAGAGTCTGGGATGCTGTATATATAGTAAGATAAGCTGGGAATTGGTACCTTTAGGATCTCCCACTCAGCATGGCTCTATATGGGCTGTTGGAGACCAGGCTCTGTTATATGAATATTTTACAAAAATGAGCCTTTGACAAGGAAAACAACCCTGTTCCCTCCTTTCTGGCTAGGTTCGGTGTTTACAATGGTATCTCTAACCTAGACCAGATGTTTCCCCACAAGTGACACACCAAGTCTCATTTAAAGGTCAAGCCTCCAAAGGCCATCTGTCCTCTGGTAGGTAGATGCCCGCTTTGGTCGTCAGTTCTGTTTCTGAAACAGTATCACTTCTACAAAGACAAAACTGAGTGACCAGCAGGTAAGGCCACCTAACAACCCTATTTGGCCCTCTGGGAGTCCCCCAGCTTATCTCATGCAGACACCCCTCATGGCAGACAATGGCCAGGCTTCCTTGGCTACCCTTGGTGATGGTGTGCTTGTGTGAACATCATCACCCTGTAGGGTGTATAACCAGCTGAGAGAGGCCTTACCTCATGGGACAAGTAGAAGGCCGCAATGCCCAAAGGCCAGAAGCAGCAGAGCATGGAGAAGACACTGAGCCCCAGGTGGTCCCGTGGGGGCATCATGAGGAAGTTGTCCTCACTCTCTGTGTCGCTGGAGTAGTCACTCTGCAGAGACAGCGGGAAGGACAGGAGGGAAGTTCAGTGAAAAAGTAATGGAATGCCACCTGGCTGGAGCAGGCCCTTCCTGGCTGCTGTTCTAGCTGCTGTTCCAGCTACTGTTGCTAATGTTCTTGTTACCATGATCACCAACAAGTATGAACCTCACATAAGGGTGCATCATTGGAAAAACTGGCCAAATCTCTTAGACAGCGAAATAGTAGGCAAAATGTTACGGAAAACATGGTGATATAAAATGTCCTCAGCTCACCATGATTTAACTTATTGGATTTTTTGTTTGTTTGTTTTATTTTATTTTATCTTTGTTTTAGTTTACCATTGATTTCTCCATGTATTTAATCCATCCTGACTTAGGACACCTTAGACTTATAATGGGTTCAATGGGAGGCTAATGAGGAAAATCATGTTTCAGAAATCTCTGGGATCCTGGTGTGGGGTGATGGGGATAAAGATGGTGGCCTTGAGGACTTTCAGGAGGCATTCCCTACCTGTATCTTGCTTTTTGTGCTCAGGACAGGGTGGGGCTAGTGTGGACAGGGGGAGGATGATGTCTCTGGATATACTCAAGTTTCCTTTGATGCTGATCAGAGTCAGGATATGAGGAACCCAAGTTCCACCCAGATGTACAGCCTCCCTCATGAGGATGTGACAGCTGTTCTGGGAGCAGCTGCCTGTGAATGTAGCTCTCTCCTCACTGTGATACAGTGGCACATGGGACTCTCACAGACCTGGTGAGAATTTCCTGGGAATCTGATGTAGGTGGTTCGGTGGGTGGGCTGGGAACACCAGTGAGGATGATTCTAAGACTTAAAACCACTACCCAGCTACCTCGTAGAGCTTGTACATGCTTGCTTCCCGGATGTTAGATGGACACCCCTGGCTGGCTCCACTCACTGGATTTTATCTCATCAAAGCATATGCCCTTTGTGCTGACTCATCAAAAGCCATGGTTGCCTTCTCCAACTGTTTATTTCACACAAAGATGAAGCCCTAGCTTACTCCAGACACTGCTTCTAAAAACAAAAAAGAAACAGAGCATCTCCTCTTCAAAGAGCTTATTACCATTCCGATCCTGCTGCAGCCTGGAGAAGCTTGAAAATGTTCTATGGAGCTTGGCTGTGGGATGATTCCACTTGACACCTGCCACACCAGGCTATCAGGCTATCTACCCCCCCACACCCCCACCAGCCTGGGGTCACTCATACACAGATGCTCAAAATCCCCCAAATGAAAACGGCGTTGTGTATAATTTTACACATAAAACTGCTGGAAGCCCTGGTCACCAGGCAGACAGCAGAGCACTGCACTGAGAGGTCGGGGACTGTATGTGAGAACTTTGTTTCTCTGTAGTTAATAGTGAAAATAAGCACAGGGTGTTGCAATCACTCACATAACAAACAAGGATTTCTCTGGGTGGCCCTGCCATGGAAGCTGATAACCCACTGCCCAGACAGGGCTGGTTCTCCCCATCATACACAGGGAGGCCTGAGGGCCAGGGGTCCCATGCTTCATTCCCCAGAGCAAAAGTCACCTCTGGAGGTCATAAGGCCAGCTCCCTATCATGTCTCTGTCCTGTCGATCACTGTTTCTCTCTGCCCAAGTATGAGTCTTCTGCCTGGTACGGTGTCCCTTCCGAGTGTCTGGGACTGTACAGTGTCCCTTCCACAGAACTACATCTGTGGAATTAAGTCATTTTATTCTGTACACAATCTCCCATATGGTCTCCAGAACAGTAAAGGAAAATGAAAATTACTATCATTATGGCTATCTGAGATGGAAATCAAAACAGCCGGCAGGGATGCATAATTCATGCAGGATTCGAGGACTGCACTGGCCAGGCCTTGCATAGCACGGAACCACCTATTAGGATGAAGCACACCCTGTGCTCCTGTTGTCACATGGCACCTCTTCACATACAGCCCTGTCCCCTCTAGATCTTCTATAGTTCCTTCTGAAAACCAGTAATGCGGAGAGGAGGTCCACGACCACAATTGTGCACCTCAAACTGTTGTGCTGGAGGGCCATCTCTGCAGGAAGTGCCTGAGAGCTTAGCCTGTGACAAATCCACCAAGGGTCTAAAGATCAGAGGGCAAAGGCCATCTTCTTTCTTCAGACCCTCACCTTCTTGACCTGCAGGTCAAAGCTGCCCTGATGTGAGTGGAGGTTTGGGATTATGGGCCACAAATCTGTGCATGCTTGTTTAGATTCTTAGCTTTTGGTTTTGGGGGTTTTGATTTTTTAGCTTATGAAGAGTTTTGTGCTCCTGAGGTCATTGTGCCTCATAACACCTCTGGAGATAATTTAACTTTTATTGCCATTTCCATTTTTTTTTTTTTCAGAGCTGAGGACCGAATCCAGGGCCTTGCGCTAGCCAGCGCTCTACCACTGAGCTAAATCCCCAACCCCGCCATTTCCACTTTATAATGGACAAAGCAGAGGTCGGGGAAAGTTGACCCCCTTGCCAATGGCACTGCGCAGCCAGCCCCTCACTGTTTAGTCCAGGCTTTGTGCTGTGTTTGAACTCAGAGCCAGCTGCACAGAAAACCGTTTGGCTTCACCTATGTCTATATGCTGCTTCCCTTCGGCCACCAGGGCTTCTGATCATCTTGCTTCTTAACTGGTGTGTGCCAAGATGGTTGTGTAGGTGTGGCAGCAGCCACAGAGGTGCTGATATTTTCCCATACAGTCAAGGCTGGAATCTGCTGCTCCATAGCCCCCAAGCATGCCAGGACTATAGTGTCTGGCTCTACTTGTCTCTGAAGAATTACATCACTGTCCCTATTCCATGAAGATGTGGGTTTCAGAACAATAAATACTCTACAGATTCTTAATCGAACCACACACGGAAGTTACAGAGTTGTTCTTGCATGACACCAAAATAATTAATCAGTTTGATTAAAATGGATTTTTATAATTCAAGAAAAATTACAGAGAAGATAACAACATCCTGGCTTGTAATCCTTCCTTTGCTCTTCCATCTGCAGGATCCTCATGGGTTTAAGTGGCCATGGGCATAGAGCCACCAAACAGGGAGGGGAGGAGATACAGCTGGCCCAAGAGATGTGCAGATTCCTTCAGCCAAGTAGATGAAATATGCACCACCCATGCAGAAGAGACTCAGCTTGTAGGGCAGCTGTCTTTTAAATCCCCTTCCTAGGTCGCTGTCTGGAACATCTGCAGTGGATAGGAAACACTCACAGAAGTTCAAGATTCATGTTATGTCTCCTTGTGAGCTGCAGGAAGCAAGGCAGAGGCAAGTGGGCTGCTGGCTCTGCAGCCTGTGCCCACTGATTGGGCGGTCCCCTGAGTGGCCTATCTCCCTACTAGGCTGATGGGTCTCAAGCCTCATATTATTTTTTTTTATTGTTAAATAGTCACAAGGATAAGTTTTGTGCTGATCTTCACCCAGTTCCACACTCACTGCAGCTATGTGAGCAAGTGCTACCAGCTGTTTCCAGGGAGCGAAGTTTGATTTATCTTTGTTACTTGGAGTCCCTCCAGGTGTCATGACCATTGTGGGGACCTGGAGTCATTCTTCTTCCTCCACCTGGTCATCTGGACAGGAAGGTCACCATTTGGTCTTAGGAGGCACTCTGGATGGGTTCATTATACTAAGCCAGCAGCTGCTAGCCACATAGACCTATGCAAACCTAAATCACTTAGAATTAAATACAGCCAACAGCTGGCTCCTTGGACTCACTACACATTCCATTCCTCAGAAGCCACAGTGTTCAGTACCTGTCAGTACATTTCTCTCATGTTCACGCAGAGCTCACTTGCTCAATACATTAGTGGATTCTCCCCGAATGTCATTTCTCATCAGGGACTCTCTAACACTTGACAGACTGTCTCAGTCTTCCATGGCAGAATCTTGACCTAGCTAGAAATTGTCTTCAGTGCTGCTGCCTACTATCTGACTTGGTCTGCACTCCTGGCAGGCAGAGATCACAGGTATTTCCTGGTACAGGGAGGGTTCAGTGAACCTTTGCTGGATAAAGAACTCACCTGTGGCCTTAGCCAACAGAAACACCAACTTCAACTAAGAAATGACTCCATCAGATTGGCCCATAGGCAAGTCTGTGGAGTATTTCCTTGATTAGTGATTGATGTGGGAGGTTTCAGTCACTGTGGGTGGTGCCACCTCTTGAAAGATGGTCCTGGGTTGTATAAAAAAAACAAGTTGAGTGAGTCATGGGGAACAAGTTAGTAAGCAGCATTCTTCCATGGTCTCTGTTTCAGTTCCTACCTTGAATTCCTGTCTGGACCTCCTTCATGGTGGTCTGGAGTTGATGAAATAAAAGATGAAGCAAACACTTTCCTCTGGCTTTAGGTCATGGTATTTATCACATCAATAGAAACAAAGCTAATACAAAGTCCATGTTCTCTGCTTTGTTCAAAATCAAGTCACATTAAAAGCCAGATATTCCCTATAGCCATGTTGTATGGTACCCGCATGGATCACAGATCTGGGGTCTCACAAACACAGAATACAAGGAAGGCTCATTTCAGGATACGAGTACAATTGTCCTTAACAATATATTAGCCATCTTGGGCATATGTTAGGAGCATGTGTTTAGTTTCTCCTGTTTGGCCCTGGGTTCCTCATAGATTGAAACTGTATCATGAGGTAGTGAAATAGAAGCAAACTAAACCTGCAACAGCTTGAGGATGTAGCTCAGTTGGTAATGTATTTGTCTAGCATGCACCAAACCCCTGGGTTTGATTCCCAGTACTACATAAACTGAGCATGGTGGGTCCTTTTCCTGTTTGCATATTAGGCTCCCATACAAATTTTTGTAAAAGAATTAAGTTATTAATAAACGTTGGAAATGAGTAAGTGAATGAACTACTCAGAAGCAAATCATTTTTTTTTTATTTCTTCCAGTAGCATATAGTTCAATGTTCCGTAAATGGTGGCATATTCCTTGGGAAGAGAGTTTCTATGATTTTAGAAGACATTGACCTGATTAAGACCCTGAAATATGAAA